GTATGCAAGGCAGACGCTTTGCCACTGAGCTACATCCCAGCCCGCTTTTTGGATTTTAGGATCAATAATCATTTATTGAATCCTGCTGTGTACCAAGATCCGTGCCGAGCTCTTCCACACTCGAGAGAAATCCATGGGGGGTTAGTAATTGCTCTGTATCGCTTATCACATTGTACTCATGTAACTTCTGAATGCCTGACTGAGTGCTTGACAGTGGGAAGGCCAGGGTCCAGCTGGACTCTGCCTCTAGGCTGGCCAGCTTACCAGCTTATGGTTTGTCTTTGATACAATCAGGCCCCAGCACCCTGACTTACCCACAGTGTATGACCCTTCAAACCATGGTTGCCCGGCATCACCTTCCAGCCTGTACCTGACTGTGGCTCCCTGTCCCACATTTGCTCTCTGGCCTTGGACCTGAGCTTGAGGCAGGTGCTCTTGGACTGATTCCTTTGCTCTTCAATTGTTACTTGAATCTTTGGGAGACAAAAACATCCAACACATAGAGGAGGTTCTTACAGAATCTTACAGAAAGCTGATGTTAAACAAGCAATTAAAACAATCATTCCATTATTCCTTCCACAAATATTTATTGAGTATTACCAACTGCCAAACATAAAGAATATCCCAATACTATACAGAGGCAGACCTGATCGCTGTCCACATAAACTTAGATAATGTATTGATCTATTTTTCCTTACTCTAGTAGAATACCTGAAGTAGGCTAACTTTATACAGAAAAGAGTTTTATTTAACTCAAAGTTTTGGAGATTCAAGGACATGGCACCAGATTGTCTTGGCCCTGATGAGGATCTCAGGGCAGAGAGCAGAAGCACATATGGGAGGAAGAGATCACATCTAAAAACAGGAAGCCAGAGAGAGACTGAGGTCACACAGTCACTTCTGAGGGTACACCCCCAATTGACCAAGGACCTCCCACTAGCCCCACCTCTTAAAGGTCCCACTTCCCAACAACAGACTGAGGACCCAGCTCCCAACACATGAATCTTTGGGAGACAAAAACATCCAACACATAGAGGAGGTTCTTACAGAATCTTACAGAAAGCTGATGTTAAACAAGCAATTAAAACAAAATATGATGAGTGATAGCAAAGAATTAGAAGACCTGTGGGAATATGTGGCTAGACTAGTAAGGCCTCCAGGAATGGAAGTTAGTTTGGAGAACAAGTGATAAGTTCAAAGTGGAACTCATCGAGCATGCAGGTGACTCTCATGCTTTGGATTGTGTGGGCTTCTGCTGCTCTGGACAAGTAGCCTTGGACTCAGACTTGACACAACACCCAGGATCCCAGTCAAAATAGTCCTAAAAAAAGTCCCCATTATTCTCACAGTTCAACTTGAATGTGAAGCAAACCCATCCAGGTTTGTCATCCAGAATATTCCAGACCAGCTAAAGAGATAAGAGAGGTCCCTGTGAAGTAAGAAACTTATCAATAACTACATGCTATGCTTGGGGTTCCATGGAGTGTCAGAAAGGACCACCCCGAGTATTCAAAGCTTCGTTCTAGCACCCAGTGATGAATAAGAAGCAAAAAAAAAAAAAAA